CGGTTCTCGTTTCTCTCAGCCCCGTGTCCGCCCAGGCTGCCAGCACACACTCCTGGGCACACGCACGGCCGTCGCCGCGACGTCCCCGGTGCCCACGGCAGGGGAGGGGACCAGCCTGCAGTGTCCCCACCGCACTGGGTAGGAGCGGCTTGCTCCCCGCCGTGCCTGGCGCCGGTCACCTTCCCCTTCTCACGGCCGCCACCAGCGCCCGCAGGCGGTCCCGCCCCTCTGGGGTCGACTCTCCACCCCAGGATCTGACCCCAGCTGCTCCCGACACTCTGGGTCCAGCACCCTCTTCTGCCTGGCCAGTGTCCGGCATTTCCTCCAACTCCTGCCTCAGTGTCCCCGGAGCCTGCTTGTGGGGGCCGTGCGCGTGCCCAGGTCTGTCTGCAGAGGAACCTCTCCCGGGGCCTGCGGACCTGCTGCCCCGCAGGGTTAATCCTGGTGGGAGGATGGCCGGGCGAGGGGAGGCTGCAAAGGGCCTCACAGGGCACTGGGCAGAAAGCCGGACGGTCTGAGCCCCGTGCAAGAGGGTGCTGGCCGGGGCGGGGAGCTGCCGGGACGCTCCTGCCGGGGGCCACGAGGCTACTGAAAGCCAAAAGGCACTCACGGTCCCCTGGGAATGACAGCACCCAGCAACCACCATACCCGGCATTCACAGCACTGCACAACCACAGTACCTGGTACTCACAGTACCCTGCAGTCACAGTACCTGGTACTCACGGTACCCTGCAGCCACAGTACCTGGTACTCACAGTACCCTGCAGTCACAGTACCTGGTACTCACAGTACCCTGCAGCCATGGTACCTCGTACTCACAGTACCCTGCAGCCACAGTACCTGGTACTCACGGTACCCTGTAGCCACAGTACCTGGTACTCACAGTACCCTGCAACCACAGTGCCCTGGTATTCAGTACCCCATGACCATGATACCCTGGAATTCACAGTACCACACACTCACAGTATGCTGCAGCCACAGTACCCTGGTACTCATGGTACCCCGTGACCACAGTACCCTGGTAATGATGGCACTCCTAAAACCACAGTACCCCAGCATTCATGGTACCTCACTACCACAGTACTCTGGTACTCATGGTACCCTAGTAATAATGGTATCCTGACAACCACAGTACCCTGGAATTCACAGCACCCCACACCCAGAGTACCCTGGAATTCACAGTACCCTGATACTCATAGTACCCCGTAACCATGATATTCCAGCATTCACAGTTACTGGGACCACAGTACCCTGGCATTCATGGTACCCGACAAACACAGTATCATGGTATTCCATGACCACAGTACTTGGGCATTCACAGTACTCTGCGGCCACAGTACCCTGGTACTCATAGTACCCACAATCACAGTACCCTGATAATGATGGCACCCCACCAACAACCACATTACCCCAGCGCTCAGTACCCCACAGCCACAGGACCCCGACATTCAAGGTGCCCACAACCATGGTACCCAGTTAATCATGGCACCCCACAATCACGGTACCTCAGTACACACGGCAGCCTGACTACCACACTACCCCAGCCCTCATCACACCTCATGACCTGACCATGGTACCCCACAGCGACAGTACCCCAGAATTCACAGTACCCCTCAATGCAGAACTCTGGTGTTCATGGTAACCCGACAAGTACAGTGCCCCGGCATTCAGGTACCCCATAATCATGCCCAGCAGCATGGCACCACACAACCAGAGGCCTCAAGCACCCCTCCCGCCAGGGTACCTCACAGTGACGCCCCCGTAACCACGGTTTCCTGACGTGACCCCAGGCTCAGCCTCCCAGCACTTGGTGCCCCAGGCGCTCCGCAATCAGTACCCCGCGGTCATGTGCCCAGGACGACGGTTCCCTGGCTCCTGGCGAGGCCCAGAACCCAAGAGGGCCGTGTCGGAGCAGACATGGCCCCATGGCCACTGGGAACTCCAGACATGCTCTGTCATACACGCACTCAGGCCACATCTACACACCCCACACACAGATGGACACCCACTCCCACGCCCCCGTCCACATAATCACGACTGCCCACTGTGCAGGCATGCAGATACGCACACAGGCACATAGGCACACTGGTACACACACAGGCACACACAAAGGTACACACACACAGACATGCACACACACAGACACACACACACACACACAGGCACTTCCCACTGGCTGCACCGAGGCCCCTTGAGGCTGGCTCTCCTCAGAGGCGCTCACAGGGCCGGGCCGCGCGCTCCTGTGGGAACAGCACCCGCCTGACTCGTGGGGTCGTGGAGGGGGGCGGGCTGTCGCCCTGGGGTGTTATCACCCCGCCGCAGACTTATTCAGTTACAGAAGTCTGCGGGAAACGGGGCCCCGGCCCTCCTGCGGGCTCCCGCCCACCGGCCGCTCTGCTAGCTGGAGTCCCGCCGCCCCCCATCGAAGCCTCCCACAGAGCCCACAGCCCGGCCCCGGCCCGCCTGGCCTCGAGCAGCTGACCCCCGCCTCCCCGTCCCCCCTTTCTCACTGAGCTGGGAGGGAATCTCACCCTGTGGCCGCGGCCACACCTGCGGTGTCCATGCCGGTCGTCATAGCCGTGTCCCCGGCCTGGGCAGAGCGGGAGCTGGGGCAGCGTGGTGACTCTGGGCACTGTGGCCAGCTCACAGGGGCTCTCACTCCAAGCCACTCAGGGACAGGGCCCTCACGGGCACGAGGACCACCGCTGTCTGGGTGTGCGGGTCACTCTCTTGAGGCAGAGACCCGACGTGAGCAGACGGGCCCAGGTCGGCCGTCACCCGTGCCCTGCCCGGAGCCGCCATCCGCCCACACGCCGGGAGCACCACGGGGACACAGGGCCTTCCCGCGTGTGATTCCTGCCTGAGACACCTCAGGGGCTAGAGCCACAACGGGGCAGGGGTCAGCGTGCGTGCGGCCACATGGCCACCCCCCGGCTCAGTCCCCAGCACCGTCTGGTCCTCCGGGCACCACCAGATGTGGCCCCAACATCTCCCCTTGGCGCCAGTCAAGCCAGAAAGGAGCAATCCTCACCGAGCTTCCCTAGACGGAGGTGAGGCCCGGGAGGTGAGCGCCCATCTCGCCAACAGAAACGGCTTCTCCAACCCCCGTCAGGCACCGAAAGGCGCCAAAGCCGAGAAACGGAAATGGGGCCCTTGTGAGGCGGGAAAACAGAGACCACCAGGCCACACCACCACCACGCTCGCCAGAGAGCTCGGCACCGGGCAGGGAGAGGCATGCGGCCTGTGGGTATAAATCCATCACATGCACCATTCACACTGCACACACACACACACACACACACACTCCCATTCACACTCACACACATACACTCACACACACTCATGCACTCAAACACACATACACACATATTCATAAACCCACACACTCGCACTCACCTACCCACGCCCATACAACACCCTCAAACACACATTCACACTCTCACGCGCACGCTCACCCTGGCACTCCCAGCCACTCACGTACACCCCACCCCCTCTCATGTTCACACTCACATACTCACGCATACTCCAACACATGCACTGACACTCACACACCTCCAAACGTACAGCCACACTCGTGCACACACTCAGTCACACTCGTACACTCATACACCTAGGCACACGCATACTCACCCACGCGTACACACGCATCACACTCACACACGCTCAGTCATACCCTCATACACACTCATGGACTCACAGACACATGCTCATCCATTCATACAGACTCACCTTCACACACACATACACCTATACACACCCCCAAACTCAGACACACCCGCTCACCCTTATACACTCACATACACCCACACTCTCATACACACAGACACTCTCACACAATCACGCAGGTACACACCTAGACGCACACACACACACACACACACACACACTCAAATACACTCATACACAAGCACATAGACATTCCCCCCCAGAACTGAGGGGGAAGGGAGGCATCTGGTCTGCTCCCAGTCTGTTCCTGGGTAGTTGTCACCGAGAGTCCCGCGGGAGGCTGGGAGGCCGTCCACCAGGCACACACAGGCCGCCCCCGGGGCCAACACCCTCAGCACTGACTTCCCCCACCCACCTTCTCAGAGAAGGATTATCTGCTTCCTCTTGGTGCTCTGGGACTAAATCTGCCACTCGGACCCTCCACAGTCCTGTCCCTGTCCCCGAGCAACGGCCCTCCACTCCCAGACGAGATTCACAGAGCACACAACACAAACAGAACCCACGGCCCCGGCGGTGAGGCCCCGTGCAGCGCTGTGCAGACGTCTGAAGGATGCAGGAGAAGCATGCGGTCACCTAATAAGGGATCATTTCCGACCCGAATTGTCACCCAAGCAGATGACAAAACTACTGGCAGAGAAGAAACTACGTCCCCTGATCGTGCGCCCTCCTCCGACACACACACACACACACACACACACACACACACACACACACACGCTGCTCAAAATCCCTTTCCAGGCTTGACCGGCACCTGCTAGCAAGGACTCCTGAAGGAGGAGGAGTAGGGAGTGGACGGCTCACACGTGCAGCTCAGAGAGCGCTCAAGGGACACAGAACATGCCCCGACCCGACGGCCAAGGAACGGCGTGGGGCTCCCTGCCCGCCCTTCCCAGGACACTGACCACTGTCCCTCCCCGGGAGGCCTCCACTGCGAGCCCGGCGGAGGCAGCCGGCGCTGAGTTCTGGGAGCTTTTCCGCGTCCACTCGGGGAGCGCGTGCAGGGGCCGGGAAGGCTGTGCCGACTTGCCCCAGTCTGCGGCTGGAACCCGCGGGTTAAGTAATAACATTCTCACAGTTGTGTTATCTCTGTCTTAAATTACACACCACCCGCGGCCTCGGAGAAACGGGGTTTGTGGTGCCCAAGTGGATTCCTGCACGCTAACCCCCGAAGTCAGGAGGGAACTGCATCCCAAAAGGGGCCATCCAGGGCGCTGGACGGGAAACGGGGGAAGCCGCGGGTCTCCCCAGGAAAGTGTCAAACCTCTCAGTCCTACCTGCTGGGTGGCTCAGCGTCCCGGTGCCCGTCCCTTCCCTTCGACAAGGCGCTTGGTCTCCTGGCTTCGGAGTCGGCCAGAGGGACAGCAGGTACGGGAGGGAATGGTCACGATCTGTCCTCTGGATTGTCCCCAACTCTCCACCACCTTGGGAGAGGGCAGTCACCATGACCCTTCTCTCCCTCCCGGGGAAATCCCTGCGGCCACCCCAGCGCGGGAGAGGAGGGGGCTTCGGGGCGCGGGCACCGCTGCCCCGCGGGTTCCAGGGCACCGGCTGCAGCGGACACTGCGCTCAGGGGCTTTGCTTGGGCACAGCCTGGTGCCTGGGGGGTGGGGAGAGGGGCGCGCGGACCCCCCTTGAACTGGAGGCCAGGAGAACAGGACGCCGCGTTCTCGGGACGGGGTGACAGCGGGGTCAGCACGCGCGCGGACTCGGGCGCCCCTCGAGGGAGGGCGGGGGGCGGGCAGGGGGCAGGCCTGGGTGTCCGGAGGGGGCAGGGCGCACGCGGGAGCGGCGGTCCAAGGGGCGCGGGCCCCTCCCTCGGCGGGGGCAGCTTCCCGGACACCCGGGACCTTCGGGCCGGGGATCTCGGGGGGGCCGGGGGGCGCCGCCAGCAGCAGCCGCAGGGGCGAGGCCCAGACTCGACGTCCCCGCGGGCCCGACCCCCGCGCGCCCCCGCTGCGGTCGGGGGGCGCCGGGGCAGGGGACCCCCGCACCCCCGGGGCTCCGGCCCGCGGCCCCCCACCCGGCCCGGCGCCGGCGCCGCGCGGCCCCCGCCCCTCCCCCGTCCGCGCCGCCCGGGGTCCCGCGCGGGAGGCCCCGGCCGCGGACCCCCGCGCGCGCCCGCCCGTCCCCGGGCACCTGGGGCCGCGTCCGCCGCCTGCCGGTCCGCCGGGCGAGCGCCGAGGGAGGCGGCGCCGGGCTGGGCGCTAGCGGCCGCCTCCGCCCCCGCCGCCCGCTGCCCCCGCCGCGGGGCCGCCGCGTCCCCTGCCCATGCCCGGCGCCGCCTCCCCGCGCCCGTGCCAGCCGCGCCCCCGCGGCCCGCGCCGCCCCTCGGCCCGCGCCCCCGCCGGGCCCGCCCCCGCCCCGCCCCGCGCCGGCCGGCCCCGCCCCCGACACGCCCCGCGCCGCCCCGGGCCCGCCCTCGGGCACGCCCCGCCACGCCCCGGACACGCCCCCGCCGCGCGGGCCCCGCCCCGCCAGGGCCCCGGGCCCCGGCCGCCGCCCCGGGCGGGACACACCCCCGGACGGCGCCGTCCGATTGGCTGCCCGCGGGGGCGGGGCGGGGCCGCGGCGGCGGCGGCGGCGGCGCCTCGGCGGGCGGGTCCGGCCTCGTGCGCCCGCGCGCGGGGAAACTGAGGCCGCGCGGCCGTTAGCGGGGAAGTTTGCGGCGGGCGGGCGGGCGGGCGGGCGCCGGGCTGCGGGGGGGGCCGAGACGTGCCCGGCCCGCCCCGCTGCCCGCCGCTCGCCCGCGCGTCTGCGGGTCGGGCTGGCCGCGCTCCGGGCTGGAGCCCCCTCTGCGCCCGGGACCCCCCGCCGCCCAGGCCCCCGAGAGGGGTCGCGCGCCGCAGGACGCGTCCGCAGCGGGCGGGGGGCCCGGCCCGGGCGCGCCCCGCGGGCTCCCGCCACCTGCTCCCCGGCCTCCGCGCTGGGAGCCGCGCCGCGACCCCCGCGAAGCCCCTCTCCAAAGGTCCCCAGGGTCCCTTCCCCCGGGCAGACGCCCCGGCTGCCCTGGCGCTGCCCGGCGTGGGCGCGGGTGCAGGGGGCGCGGCAGAGCGGCCTTGACTGCGCGTGGCGTGGCGTGGCGTGGCGTGACCGGGGTGGGAGCCCCGCGCGTGTGCGCGCGCGCGCCCGGGCCCCTCCTGCAGGAGCGCAGCGTGCGCCGTGCCAGCCTCCTCCTGCCCGCGGCCGCTTCCATTCGTAGCTTCTCTTCGTAGCTGCGAGCGCCCCGGAGAGCCCCTCGCTCGGGCAGGCCCCGGGCAGGCCCCCCGAGTCCCCGGCTGGGCCCCAGAGCCGCCCGCGCCCCCCGCCGCGCCCCAGGCCCGGGCCGGCCTACCTGGCCTGGTCACGGGCCTCCTCCTCGCTCGCCCGGTGGCGCAGCCCCATGCCCGGCGGTGAACTTCGCCCCACCCCGCAGACACCCACGGAGCCTCCCGCCGCAGCCCTGCCGGGCCGACTTTATTGCCCGCGCTGGCCAGGGCCAATATTTGTATTCTGGTTCCGTTGACAAAGCGAACTGTGTACATTAGATCCTGGAAGTCTCTAGGCCGGGCGAGGCAGAGGTGTGATTTATCGCCGCCGCCCGGGTCTGTCCTGGGCTGGGGAGTCCTGGGCAGGGCGTCGGCCGGTTCTCACCCAGCCCTCCCGGCCCAAACACGGCCCGGCCCGGCGCTGGCCGTGGGGAGAAGCGTGCCAAGGCAGCGTCGCCAGCCTTCCTCCCCGACGCCCCCGGACGCCCAGCTCAGGCAGGCGTTTGGCGTTTGGCAAGGTGCGGTGAGAACGGGCTGAGCAAAGAAGAAGCAGCTGGGGGTTGATTCTGGCTTTTTTGGCCGCACCTGGCAGCACTCAGGGCGCACTCCTGGCTCTGTGCTCAGGGCTGACTCCGGGCTCTGTGCTCAGGACTGACTCCGGGCTCTGTGCTCAGGGATGACTCCTGGCTCTGTGCTCAGGACTGACTCCGGGCTCTGTGCTCAGGGCTGACTCTTGGCTCTGTGCTCAGGACTCACTACTGACTATCTCAGGGATCACTCCTGGCTCTGTGCTCAGGGCTGACTCCGGGCTCTGTGCTCAGGGATGACTCCTGGCTCTGTGCTCAGGACTGACTCTGGGCTCTGTGCTCAGAGCTGACTCTGGGCTCTGTGCTCAGGGCTGACTCTAGGCTCTGTGCTCAGGGCTGACTCTAGGCTCTGTGCTCAGGGCTGACTCTTGGCTCTGTGCTCAGGACTCACTACTGGCTATCTCAGGGATCACTCCTGGCTCTGTGCTCAGGGCTGACTCCTGACTCCCGGCTCTGTGCCAAGGGCTGACTCCCGGCTCTGTGCTCAGGGCTGACTCCTGGCTCTGTGCTCAGGGATCACCCCTGGATGCTGGGGCTCGAACCCAAGTCAGCTGTGGGCGAGGCGAGCGGCCTCCTGGCCATCCTGTGCCACAATACCTCGTGCTGGTGTGTGCGTGGGGGCAGACGGACAGACGTGGAACTCTCGGGTGCCGTAGCTCCCCCAGTTTGAAGAGGGAGAGCCGACTTGTGTTTCTGGAAAAGTCTTTCATGCCTGCGTTGAAAGTGGCCATTCTCGGAAGGAATGGTTCTCTGCCAGCCCCCCGGGGGGCCTGCACCCCCACCCACCCCCACTGGAGAAGGAAGCGGGAGTTTCGGGGCCCAGATGGGGATTGGGCTCCTGGGGACCTGTCCTCCCCTCCCCTTCCTCTCCCGGGCTGGCTGGGATTACTCACTCTGGGGACACCCCACCCTTCTGAACATGTCGGTGACCCCTGCCACCCCCTGTTGGAGCCTTCGCCAGCACGGGGGGTTCCAGGGGTCTCCCCCCACTTTCCAATGTGGGTTCTGATGCGGGTTTTGTTCCCTGAACCCAGAAGCTATTCCGAGGGAGGCGTGTGGGGCTGGCCTTCCCCAGCAGGGGGACAGAGGCACAGGGGACGCCCCCCAGGTCACCCTCAAGCTCCCCCACAACGTCACCCCCTGACTGCGGTGCAGTGTGTGGAGGTGGCCGCTGGCCAAAGCCACCGGCGGACCCCAGGGCGGCCGGTGCAGGGCAGGTGAATTCTCTAGGCTCTGAGAGAGGGGGGGGGGGGGCTCACGGGCCGCTGGTGGGGGCGCCCTGCGGGGGTCGCCCTCCAGGTCATGTCCGTATTTGCCTGGCCCCTTCCAGGAATGGCCAAGGCCACCGCAGGCCATGGCCCTGCCCTGCGCTGACCTGGACATCCTGCAGTTGGAGATCGTGTCCCTGGGGTCATTGCCAGGCGGTGGCCTCTGATCTCTGAGTGTGGCCACCGTGCGGGACAAGGAGGGGTCTGGGAGGTCAGTGGCTGAGGCCTGGTTGCGGGGCTGCCTTGGGGATGGGCGCAGGACCTCCCCCGCCGTGGGCCAGGGGACCCCCAAGGCGGCTGGGGTGCGCCCCTCTGATGGGGAGCCCAGGGGGCTGCATTCCCAGGATGGACGGAGACCCCTACTGCAGCCACGGATGGACATTGTGCACGGCCACGGGCCACTGGCCAGCTCCGAGCCCGGTTTTTAGGGCTCTTTTGGCCCCACGGTGCCTGGGTGGTCATGGGTGGTCAGCGCATGCCTCTTGATCTTCCTCCTCATAGGACGGAGGTTGCTGGTCTCTGAGCAGAGCTCGGAGCTCCATGACAGCAGTGCTGGCCCTCACCTGCTCACCCCCACCCCGGGGAGGCTGCCAGCACCCCTCCCGGCCCTGGACAGGCTGTGTGAGAACGTCTCCAGCCCCTTGGAGCCCCCAGGCCAGTACAGGGGCCCGGAACATTCCAGAGATTGGAGGGGAAGTTCTCTCAGCATCCCACCGGCCTGGGGGAGTTGATTGGGACCCGAGAAGTCAGACTGGTGGGGAGCCGGGGAGCATCACCCAGGACAGAGCCTGGGGCGGGGCGGGAGAGACCCCCTCCACCCCACCCCCTGCCCGCTCCCTGGCTGGGAGTGGCCCGGAGAAGGGATTCTCCTTTCTCCTCCCTTGCCCTGGACGCCTGAAGTGCTGACTGGAGCCGCGGGCACCCCCAGGGCTGGTTAAACTGTCGGCCTGTGGACGCCCAAAGTCCAGGACCCCGCGGCCCAGCACCGGGTTACTGATCAACGCGCGCGGTGTGTCGGCCGCCAGCCGCCCTCCGACCCCGGCCACCCCCGCCCCCAGCCCGCACCGGCTCCTCTGAGGCCGCGTGTGTTGGGACTTGCAGCCTGGAACGGACACGTGAGGGGGGTGTGGGCGCCGCCCGGAGCCTGCGGGAGCGCGGCCCACACAGGGAACGCAGACGGGCATGAAAGGCCTGGCGGGCCCGGGGCGGGCGCTGGGCACTCGGCGGGCGAGGGAGTAAGAGGCAGAGAGCAGAGTTTATTTCATTCTTGATTTTTAATGTTTTGGGGGCCACATCCGGCCGAGTGTGGGGCTCAGTCCCCACCCTGGGCTCCGGGATCACTTGGGATCATCCTGTGGGGTGCCCGGGATCGAATCCGGGGTGGCTGTGTGCCAGGCCAGACCGCCCCTCCCCCCGCTGTGCCATCTTTGGGGTCCTGGAGTTCATTAAAGACGAGGCTGACCCCAAGGCGGCGAGGGCCAGGCTCTGTGGGATAGAGCGGGTCCTGCCTGGCCACCCCCCTGGCACCCACGTGCCCCCAGACCCAGCCCCCTTCCCGCTGGGGGGCCCACCTGGACTGGCCTGTGCCCAGCTCCCGCCAAGGGCGAGGCCCGACCTCAGCCTGGCACGAGCCCAGCCGAGCGCCCGGGTTTCGTGGAACTGGGAACAGCCGGGCCTCCAGAGAGGCACACACGGTTTATCGCGCTGGGGGAGGGGCGTCGGGGTCCCGCCCGTCCCCTGCTCCGCCCCCTGCTCCGCCCCCAAGGGTGCTGGCCCCGAGGTCCATCTCCTGTAGCTCCCGCCTGCGCCCCAGAGCACGGCTGAGGGCCGCCGTGGACAGGACAGAGCGCCCCCAGCCCCCCACCGCCCCACACCAAGAGGTCACAGGCACCCGGCAGCCCCCTCCGGGCCATGCAAACTGAGGTCCTGGGGCCGAGGCATCCTGGGAGCCGGTGGCCTGGCCTGGTGCCCACCGGCTGGTGCTCACGTCCTTGCATGCCCACGGCGTCCCGGCTGCCCGCCCAGCTGTGACCTCGTCCTTGACTGGGAGCTGAGGGAGGTGCTGCTGGCTCGGTGCCCGCCACGGGCATTGCTCCTGGCCCAGTGCTCACGGTGCCTCGGCCCAGAGACCCCGACGGGGGCATCTCCCCACACACACACCCAGTGGGGACCGACCACCCCTGGCACTCACAGCGGCCAGGAGCCCCCTAGGGGAGGGGGGCCGCAGGGAGCCTCTCCCCGTGACCCCAGCTCCACACCGGGCACTGCCGTCGGCCAGTTCTAAAAATACTCGTTGGCCCGTGCTGGACTCAGCACACGGCAGCACCTGCCCGCAGGACGGAGAAGCTTCCGGAAGCGCTGGCAGGCAGTGCCGCCCGCCGCTCTGGCCTCGGCCCCCGGTGGGCGGGAGCCGGGTGGGGAGGGCCTGGCCAGGCGCGGGGTCCCACTGGGGGCCTGACTGGGCACGAGGCACCCCCCACCCCGCAGCCCCCACCCAGGAGCCAAGGCTGCCCGGGGGCCCGCCCTCCTTGCTCCCTTTCTCCCGCCGCCCTCCCGTTGCCCCTCGCGTGGGCACCAGCCAATTCTCAGCAGCTCCCCGATTCTCTGTCCGTCTCCCACTCGCCCTGATCGGGACCTCGCCTCCTCTGCACGTGGGTTTCCTTCCAGAGTGGGACCATCTGCACGGCCTCCTCCAGGGAGGCCTCCCTGATCTCCGCCCCTGCCTCCCTCCCCAGTGCTCCCTCAGCCCCGTGTCACGGCCCTTTCTGCTCCCTCACCGCACTGAAGGCTCCTGCCCATGAGACCTTATCAGAGGCCAGAAACGGCAGCAGCAGGACAGAAAGGAGAGAAGGACGCCTCCGCCCCGCTCCTCGCCCTCCTGCCTGCCTTCCTCCTTCCTTCCGTCCTTCCGTCCTTCCATCCTTCCATCCTTCCTTTTTCCTTCCTTCTTTCCCTTTCCTTCCCTCCCTCCTTCCTTCCTCCCTTCCTCCCTTCCTCCCTCCCTCCTCCCTTCCTCCCTCCCTTCCTTCCTTCCTTTCCTCCCTCCCTCCCTCCCTCCCTCCCTTCTTCCTTCCTTCCTTCCTTCCTTCCTTCCTTCCTTCCTTCCTTCCCTCCCTCCCTCCCTCCATCTCCTTCTCGGTCCCACGTGCCGCCTTCAGACCCCTGAATGCCCCTTACTTCTTGGAGAGTTTTGTTCCCTCTCAGCATCTAACACGGGACCCACGGGGTGTCCGGCCCCCAGGGGCTCCGCGCCTCAGGTCCCTGTGACGTTGGGGGTGAAGGGGCCTGAGATCAGCCTGTCGGGGACGGGGGT